AGGAGTTTGGCTCTGTTTCTATTCTGAAATTGATGTGTTCCTGAATGCAGATATTTTGAAACACACTATACGCTCTAAAGACTGGGAGGAAAATGTCAAAGAAGCCAGTTGCCATCTTCCTCTCCCATCCCTCCCACCCCATATTCACTTGCCTGGTTCTTTACTCCCCCCCAACACTAGCATTCTCTAAAGCAGTGGTCTCTAAGTAGGGCGCATCCATCTGCCGGAGTGTGGGAGAAATACCAGAACTTTTTGTATTACTTCATCCACTTCAATTTCTTGCCTATCTTACTACGTAAATAATACTAGCATTGGAAGTACTAATAGTAATACAGTAGTGCTGTGGGTAAGCATTTATTGTTTATCATTGGGGCTATGGGTTCCGTTTTTTTCTAGATTGAAAATGCTACTGGAAATTTCAATCTACCACATGGAGGAAGAGCCCATCCCCGCATGTCCCAGCTTGTAGAAAAATGGACAGTGCTCGGTAGAACATGCCGCTGACCCAAGGCTTGGGAACAGGAATGCAAGAGATCTCAGGGCAGCAGGAAATAGTACCCTAAATCCTGCAGTTAATGAACTAGAGTTGTAATTTGGGCTGGGTGGTCTTAAAACAGACTTTTTCCCTTCCTGCTTTTTACTCCGCCAAAGAATCTCAGCTCCCCAAACCTAGCAGCTGCTCCGTGATGCTGTGAGGCACACACGTTTGCATCTTCTATCAGGAACATTCAGTGAGTGGTAGCAATTATCACAGAGCGTGGTCAGGACAGAGCTGTCCCAGACAGTCAGATGTACAGGAGTCCCTAGTCACCTTCTAAGCCCCTTCCCCACCCCTGCGGTCCCTTCAGCTTAGGTCCCCGTCCTGGCTGCTTCCATCACACCCAGCTCTTCCCCATCACAGCACTGTGACAGTATTTCTGAAATTGCCTTAGTTTCTGTGTATCCTCTTGTCAGCTCTAGGGAAGGAGGGACTGTGCCTCCCGTATTCACCCTGGGGTCCCCAGCACCTGAATGTGGCTGAAAAGGAACAGGAAACCCTCTGTACCCCTGTCACACCCTCAGCTCTGCAGAGGAGAAGTCGAAGGGTACAGAGGGAACATGAAATAGAAATTCTGCTCCATCCAAATCCACAGAAATTGTCTTTAGCTCTCTGAAAGTAGCCCACAGGCAATGATTTATCGTTCAGTCAGGGCTTCCCTTGTCTGCCCTTTCTCATCTGGGCCCAGACCTTCCTCCTAATTGTTGGTCTAGCTCCTCCTCAGAAGACATCATTCTTCCTCCTAAAAAGGGAAGCAGAGCTGAGGAGCAATGTGGAAAAGTTCTACAGAGAAAGAAGAATTCATACAACTCTTCTATCTAGATCCAAAGAATCTCGTTAGGATTGTCTCTTCTTCCTACACACAAAGAGAGACTGAAACTTAGGAAAATACCTTTTTTTCCTTCCCCCTAAGCCACGGAGATTCCCGTTCCAAAGTCACAAAGCTCTCTCCCACCCAACAAACCCCGGAAAGCCTGTCCTCTAGGGGGTGTCATCCAAACACTCTGCTCTTTGGGGGTTGGAGAGATTGGTTGGGGAGGGGGTAATGGGGTGAGGAAAGAAGAGAAAATAGAGGGAGGATGATGAAGACATTGGAATGAAGAAAGCAGCAGGCCAACTAAGAAGATTCCATTGGTGCGGAATGCTCAGATTTTCCCTACATAAAAGCCGAGGCCATGCAGCTCACTCACTCAGGACCTACAGCCTCAGCCCTGCCTCTCTGCCTTTGTTTGACAGAGCCATGAAGGCCGAGGCCTTCAAGTCGCCGAAATGCAAGCTTGTATCCTCTTTCATGTCTCCCCCACCCCTTCTGGTTCCCCTGTAACTTTCCTTCCCTTTTTTGCACACACACTCAGCCTGGCGTCTGGTGGTTACCGGATGCCGTGGAAGCCGAGCGCCTCCCAGCATCCTCGAGTCTAACCAGCTCTCAGCCCCTGGGGCAACCGCTCTTGCTCCAACTAGCCACGCATACTCAGGGAACATAAGCCACTATTGCATTAATATTAGCACTGCGTCCCAATTAGACATTTTATCAGGCACTGAAAGATAAAACAAACTTTTAAATGATCTCTGCTTCTGAGATTCTCTGTGCTGTCACTCTAGCCTAAGAGGCCGATGAGCATTCACGGACTCAGTCAGAAAACATGATATATTCCATCACGTTCTACCCAGTCAGAAGAACTTAGGTGAGTCATTTAAGTCTTTGGGTCTGGGAGGGGGCATGGGGGACGAGTAGAATTAAATCCCACTTGCCTCTACAATCGATTGTGTAAATCTCGAATAACAAAGCCATGTTAGTGTCACAAATATTATAAACTCCAAGTTCCCATAAGGCCCCTTACTAGCTATGGTTTGAAACAATCTGTCAAATCTACACAAAAGATGCTGTCAACCCAACAGAAGATAAAAGGGAAGGGTCATACTCTAGGAACCCATCTCCCCAGTCTTCACCAGGTTTCCAACGGGCAGAATTCAAGCACCAGGTGAATTTCTTTATTCTTATTCTCAGTCTGCAGGGGCCTCCCGCGGGTGACAGAACTGTGCTAGGCTGTCAGGCACCTCAGTGTGGTCTTCTGTGAATAGGCTGCCTTTTTATAGCATCAGCTCATCGAGGCACCTGGATAGTGATGCTCTTTGCTCGGATGGCCCCACTAAACAGCTCCGCACCACCTTTGTCGGGGGAGAGACTTCTGTATCATTGCTTTCCTGTGTCTCCTTTTTGATGCCTTTACTCCTCTCACACACGAGGAGGTCACTGTTGGCACTGGGGAGTCAATATTACTTAGGGAAACATTGTTTTCAGACACCCTGCGTCCCCAGCTCCAGCAGCAGCCCTCTGATAAGTCCTACACTGAAACAAACCAGGATACAGATTTGTGATCATCTAAGGAAGCTGGGGAATGGCAGCAGACAACGGCGCCCATGGTAGGGGTCCTGGGGTTCAGGCATGGCCAGGGTCCGAAGCACCTGCCACCAGAAGGCGTGGCTTTCAACTATAGGTCTGAAACTAGGACTGGGAAAGAATCTAAGGGCATTGACTACATCGATAACGTTTGCTGTGTGAGGTTGAGATTAGAGTGGAATACAGGATGGCCTTTGGGAAAGGAAGCACTCTGGGAATCAGGAAGCCGATAGCAGTAGCTACGAGAAAGGAGTTGGAAAATGAGGAGGGAAGTCTGGATCCTGCTCTTCGGAGCGTCCCAGGTTCCAACTGATTTGGACTCCTGAGTTTCACTTCGTGAGAGAAACAGCTGACCACAGGGATCAAGAATGGTGTAGGAAGGGAACAAGAAAGGTCCTGCCTAAATTCTAACGGGTGCTTCTGAGCTCCTGCATTTCTTAGTGAACGTATAATACAAATAGCCTCTATGTAAGGCCGACGCTACTACAAAAGTGGCAGAATAAAGAAATCTAGCTGACCAGAAGTAAGCAGTGCCCAAAGGGCAGTCATTAGATTCTAGCCAGAAGGCAAAGAGTGAGCCTTGAGAAAGCAACTAGTTAAGCATGGCCATCCTAACCAGATCTCTTTGACATCAAGAGGTGAAAGGAGGAAATGGCTGCCGGCTAGGGTAGCCTTTCCTGAGAAAATAATACACTGCACTCCATGGGCACTCACACTCTGGCAAATGGCATCAGACACAGGGGCTCCGTTTTAATCTGGGACAACCCATTTATTGAACACCCATTATAAGCTTGAGCACTGTACGCACATCATTATGTATATGTAATCCCAATGTATTAATCCTGATAACTGTACGGGCTAGGTGTTAACATCATTTTCAAAGAAGAAAGAGACTCAGAGAGGCTAAGTAAACTGTTCAGTGATATGAACTAGTAACTGTAAACTAGAAAATGGTGGAGGTAGAGTTTGAACTCATGAGAGACAGGAAACTGAATTCTAGAAGGAAAGAACATGGAGGGCAGCTCTCTCTGATTGCAAGTAAGACATGGGTAATGTACAGATATCTAGACAAAAACCCCCCTCTCTCTCTCTCTCTTTAATCCTGAAGAGTCTGGACTCCAAGTCACAAACTTACAACATTGGCCAGGGGTCAAAACTTCTTAGACTTGGCAAGAAACGTGATGTAGCCTCCAAGAAAGGCTCAGAAATAGCACATCTCAAGAGGCTAAAGGCATCTAAAGGGCAAGATCTTTGCTTTATCTTATGCTACTCAGCCGCGTCCTGCCTCACTGACAGGACCGAGTAAGAACTTGTAACAGAGATGCTATAAACATGTATGTGAGAAAACAAGGTTCCTTTGGTTCTGTCTCCATTTTGAGGAGGCAAAATTTTATATTACCAGGGTTTATTGGGCAACTGAACTGAGCCAGGCAAGCATGAAGCCAGGTTTCCCCTTCTCTTTTAAGAATAGATTAAGAAGAACTATATTAAAAGCGCACCAGGAGGGTTTGAAAGTCATCAGTAATTCCCTGACATGAAACAAAGTGAAAATCCAAAGATATGGTAGGTACTTCTATATACCCAATGATTTTGCACCCTATTTCTAACTGTCCACAATAGAGAAGTGCCACATTGGGTAGATGGACCCATTCATTTCTTTTGGTGCCCCTTCTCCCCAGTTACACTGTAAGATCAGTGTGGAGCAGAACTGTATCTTAAATTCTTTTGTAATCAGAGACCGATCCTGAATCAGAGACTTGACTGTTTGCTGATAAAAGCATCTCTAAAATATACATTTGTGAAACAGAGGTAAACTGTCTCCTTTCTGCATGCTGATAACAGAAAAAGGAAGAAAGCGTGATCTTCAGAGAACACCATCTCCAGGAATGAAACGGCTCTCCATGGCCTTACCCTCTTTCAGTGCGTCAGAGACCACATTTTTCTCAAAAGACACAGATATCCCAGGGAGGTCTCCCACTGCCTTCTCCAGGAGCTAGGGAAGCAACAGTTTTGAGCACTAGCCACCTTGCTCTGGTTCCCCGCCCCTGGTCCGGCCTTTACCTTCCACAGGGTCGGTTTTCAGTCTACTGCAGAGATTCATTACACCTCCATAGTGGACATTGATCTGGTTGATTCCATCAGAGGAACGCAGCTCCATGAGCTTCCTCAGGTCCATTACTGAGCAGCCAAAGTCCCCTTCATGGCTCTCGACCATCGAGTTGGCCGGCAAGGCATGTTCTGTTGGGTTCGTCATTTTGTCTGCTGTTACCAAGCCCCTTGACCAGAGAAAATGTGGAGTTTCCCTTCGACTGATCAGGGACACCTGCCTTTTTGCCTCACTTCTTCTTACTTCTTGCTTCTCTGGGAGCCCAATTGGGAAATAGATGGACTAGATCCTGTGCAATAGGCTTTGGAGGAGCAGCCTCTAGCCCAGATCCTTTTTTGTGTATGAAGCTTGGCAGCGAGAGGAGGAAGAGGATGGGGGAACTGAGTGGAAGCTGGACCACGTGTCACGGTGATTGGTGTCCCCAGGTAGTGATGGAAGTGCTTGTCCAGGGTAGGTAGGTTCCTAGCTTAGACCGACTTGCCCAGATGGTGGTGTAAACAGGATGTGCATGTTACCATGGAGGCCACCTTAGCAACGACCAGCAACTGCGATGGTAGAGAGGCAGCCGGAGAAGGAGGAGGAAGAGGAGGGCTCCCTGGATACCGCTGACAACTGGATCTCTGGAATAAAGATTCAAAGAGACAGACAAAAACAATTAGAGCGGCCGCGAGGATCCGGCATCTGCGAGGGCAAGAGGGACTCATTCTAGCACAAGGGTTTCGGTGACAGTTGATGCCTGAGCCAAACCGATCGCCGAGGCCTGAGCTGAGCGGATGGACTCAGGAGGGGCCCGTTCCTCCCTAGGAGGCCCCAGCAGCCTGCAAACTTCCATGTAGAGAAGTAATTTCAGATACACCCCCGTCCTGCCAACACACCGCTCTCAAGCCAAGGGACACGGATCCGGCAGCTTCAGAAACTAACGGCTCTCATGCTCTCCTTGTCTATTCATTTGAGGGTCCCACCACGAAATCCTTTGGTCTGACCTTGCCTCTAACCGGGGAGAAGAGGTCAGAAGAGGAGTCCAGACCGGAGTGATCTGGAGGGTGGTCTGCCAGGCTGCCACCCGCGCATCCTGCACCCAACACATACAGTTACATGCCAGGAGGCCAACCTGATAGACGATGCCCGCGTCCTCGGGGGCCCCTCAGAATACTCAGTCTCCAGCCAGACGGAAATCCTGCAGCCCGCTGCTGCTGTCAGCAGGTCAGGTACTAGGTTCAGGTCTTGGAGCTAAGCCCACCCCTCCAAAAAGCTTTCCCTCTCTCCAAAAGGGGAGAGTAAAATGCTCTGGCAGCCGGCCATACAGGGTGGAGCCTTTTTACATAAAGGGGACAGAAGGACCTTTGAGGAGAAGGAAGAGAGTTTAAAGTTAAATCTGAGTGTTAAAGTTACTGGACTGGCAGGGATAAGACAGCAATCAATTCGGGGCGCCTGGGTGGCTCAGTCGTTGGGCGTCTGCCTTTGGCTCAGGTCATGATCCCATGGCCCTGGGATCGAGCCCCGCATCGGGCTCCCTGCTTGGTGGGAAGCCTGCTTCTCCCTCTCCCACTCCCCCTGCTGTGTTCCCTCTCTTGCTGGGTCTCTCTCTGTCAAATAAATAAGTAAAATCTTAAAAAAAAAAAAAAAAGCAAAGAAATCAATTCGGATAGAGCCCAGGGCCACGGCAAGGTCGGCAGGAGAGCAGCGTTAGCCCGTGGGAGTGAGCACCAGAGGGTCTCAGATCAGCATTTCTCTCCTCAGAGAGGCAGGTGCTCCCCCTCTGACTGGGGGAGGGGCAGAGCTATGTGCAGGTGAGGATAGAAAGGGCTGAAGGTGGAGAGGCTCATCCTTGTCCTGTTTAGCTTTAGAGAGCAGCTCCTGCCTGTCGTGTGGGACCCACTGCCACACATCAGCCACTTATTTGTTTGCTTGTGTATTTATTTATTTGGGGGGGGAGGAGCAGAGGGAGAGAAAATCTTAAGCAGACCCTGCACTCAGCACGGAGCCTGATACGGAGCTTGATCCCATGACCCTGAGACCATGACCCGAGCCAGACGGGTCAGATGCCAAGAGTCAGACGCCTAACCGACTGAGCCACCCAGGCGCCCCCAGATCATTTAATTGTGAAGGGGGTCAAAAAATGTGAAGGGGCATTTTCTTTTTTTTAAGATTTTATCCATTTATTTGTCAGAGAGAGAGCGAGAGTGCAAGCAGCGGAATGGCAGGCAGAGGGAGAAGCAGGAACAGGAAGAGACAGGCTCCCCACCAAACAAGGAGCCCAATGCGGGACTCGATCCCAGGACCCTGGGATCATGACCTGAGCTGAAGGCAGATGCTTACCCGACTGAGCCACCCAGGCGTTCCTCAGGGGCTCTTTTTTTTATTTTTTTTTAAGATTTTATTTATTTATTTGACAGAGAGAGACACAGCGAGAGAGGGAACACAAGCAGGGGGAGTGGGAGAGGGAGAAGCAGGCTTCCCGCGGAGCAGGGAGCCCGATGCGGGGCTCGATCCCAGCACCCTGGGATCATGACCTGAGCCGAAGGCAGACGCTTAACGACTGAGCCACCCAGGCGCCCCTCAGGGGCTCTTTCTGAATATAGCACCAGAACCTGGAGGCCCAGCCCTGGTTAAACAGTCCCCATTGACTTGAGTTCAGTTACCAGGGGGTGGCAAGGGGCTCTGGACAGCCCCTCTCTAATACATAGATGACGGCCTCCCTTCTAAAAGGTGAACAAAGAAGCACAAGAACCATCAGATAAAGGCTTGACTCTTTTACCAGTTACTTTTCCAAAAATCACATGTGGCCAAAGTTCCTGCTGATTCCCATCAATCCTCTTTCCGGCAGGTCCCAGGGGATGGAGTAGGTTACACTCCCGCCTCCCCCCTAGTGCACCCCCTGCCTTCTCCTTTCACCAGGGATTTTTAGAGTGACTCTGACCTACAGAGGGTTAAGCAAGCAGGGTTTTGTTCTGTTGTTGCTACTGCTTTTCAAATATCATACTGCCTTTCTTTTTTCTGCCTTTCTTTTTTGATGTCGTCCAGGAGCCTGGGGAGTAGAGGTCTGGAAGGAACCTGAGGCAGCGCATCAAACTCCCTTCACCCCGACTGGCACGGGGATCGGTGGGGTACCGCAGACTGTCCCTCCCGTTCAGCTTCCCGCCTAAGCCTGGAAGCAGTGGGAAGGGCTATAGCAGTAAGAAGCCCATCTTGACCCTGAGTAGAACTCCTTAACCTTTCAAGAGGATGTTGAGAACCGTGCTGATGGAGTGCTAAACTGGAAATCAGATTTTACTTTTTTTCTCTTTATTTTTTTTCTATGTTCCTTGAGGGCAAAGGTCTGCACTTGTCTTGTTCACCGCTTTATCCCCAGTGCCTGAAGAGAGCCCGCATACAGTGGGCATCCAGTTAATTTGTTGTTGTTGTTAAATAATTGGTAGCAGATTCAGAACCAGATTTACCATCTTCCCAGGTACCCTTTGGGCAAGTCACTTGTCCTTCTTAGGGCTCAGTTCCTCCCGCCTTTACCTGGGAGGGGCGGGAATCAGCCCTACCTCTTCACACCATCCTCAGAAAGTGATGAAGGAGAGGAATGAGAGACAGAAATAGTGCTTGGAAGTCTTAGATGAAAGATGCCCAGCATCCAGCATGTCTGCTCTCAAGTGATGGGAGAAGGCTTGCTTTGATCTTAATGAACTTTTGGTATCTAGCCCTTTAAGCAGAAGGCCAATAAGCTCCATGTGCTCCTCCATCTTTCCTTGCCGGAGGGAACTCCCAGCCCTCGAAAAGAATGGAAAATTCCTAGGCATCTTCATTAGCAATAACCATTAGCTAGGTTATAACCATTGGCAATATCACTAGGCTAGGCAAACTTAGATTTCTAGAAAAGAAGAAGGGACAGTCTGAGTCAGAATTCCTCACTTTGAACCTCTCCTCAAGATATCAAAGAGGAGAAATTTTTCACTCACTTGGGCAATCAAAGAGAAAAGGACACTTAAGATTAGAACATATGGGGCGTGTGGAAAAGAATGAAGTTTGTCTGCTTCAGGTTTGTTCTAGAGACACATACAGAGGAGGGTAAGCACTAAGCGGCTGGTACAGAGTCAAAGTGGGCTGTGTCAGCTGGGGGCCCAGGTTAAGGTGGGATCTCTACGAAAGTTCTTCTGGAAGTCGGAGGCTTCGCAGGCACCCATACTTCTCTCTGAGCTCTTAGAATGTGAGCTCTCTGCAATTGCCAAGCCTGCCTAGCCCCTATCCTTATTAGGCAACTGGCAAAGAATAATCTGTAAGTGCTCACACCGCCTCAGCCTCAGCCTCAGCCTCAGCCTCAGCTTCAGACGCAACGCTCAGACGCCTGGGAGGTACCACCTCTTGTCAGGTCAGGATTAGTCATTCAGCTCGGGGCATTCTGGGTAAGGTATGTTCTCACTCCCACTTTCTAGCATTGTGCCAGCTTAAGGGACAATAGGATGGAAGAGCAAACCCTCTCATCGCTTCCTTCAGGGGCAAGAAATTGTATTACTTACTTTACATGATCGCTGAATCACTTCAATGTTTTTCTTCCTAAAGTCCTGTGACGTCTGTTCTACAATTTGTAATGACGTGTGAAAGCACTGTCATATATCAGTTCTAGGGAGGACAGCTGGGACGCCCCCCCCCCCTTACAGATGAAGACACTGAGGTCTAACGAGATAAGAAGTGATTTAGTCTTTGGCAGGTCAGCGTCCTTGGCTGTCTGGCGCTCTTTTTGTGACACTTTACTCCTTCCCTCGAGTCTGGACCTCCTCATTTTCTGACAAACATCTAAGAGGTCCTTTAAAATGCAGCATCTCTGGAGTACAGAAAACACTTATTTCCACTTAAAGGAAATGTCGATTCTTCCTCCTGTTCTTTCTTGTTCAGAATCAACTACGTTACATTACAGGGGCTGAAACAGACCCTCTCCCACTCCCATACACACCTGAGAAGCAAACCGCCCCACACTTCCTGATAACTCAGAATGCAGTGAGGTTTGCTAGCAAGTTCCAAAACAGGGAGCTGCCAGAGACAAGAACCTCATGCCCTAAGCCATCAAACCATAAACAATAGTCAGACACTCTGTTTCCTCCAATTTTGTCCAAGGAATCCCTTACTCTTGGAAACCTTCCCAGCAGTAAGGAAGAGATCCATCCTACGAGGAGAAAATGTAGCTCCCGTGTAGGGGATCGAGTAGGGTCTTTTGAGGATCTGAAAGGAAGCCACCCCCTGAATCTCCCCTGCCAAAGGCTGCTATTGAATCTGGCACGATGCATGGGAAATGAAGTATGAATGGAAACAGGAGAAAGGAAACAGGAGGGGCCAGGGGCTAGGGAATCAGGCTGGCTCAGCACTGCAGCTGGACCTGCCTGGAATAATAAGGGCTACACTCAGCTCTGGCCTCCAGGCTGCAAGGGCAGGCTGCTCAGTAGAGCAGACTCTGGTGCCCTGCCCTGCTCTGGCTTGTCCTCTTTACCAGAGCCTCTGCTCAGGAGCGTGTTGGTAGTGTTCAGAGATGCTTTGGTTGGAGTACCAGCATCACTGCCATGGGGGACGTGAGGGGTGAAGGAGGCAAGATTTCGAAGGGGGCGGGGGGGCAAGGCCAGTGCCACCTTAGAT